CAGACCTGCTTCAAAATGCATATCAGGAGGCATACCACATGTTCTGACACTTCGGTCCTTAAGCCGGTAAACATACCTACCAGTTTGTGGAAGATTATACAAAACGATGTGACGGAGTGAGATTTTTGGTGTTTTCATCACTCCAACAAAATCAGCACACAAATTGAGTCTGTGTGATTCAGTCAGAGGAGAGAAAAAATTCAGGATTTGTTATGTTAATACGTTTGACAAGTGTGCAGTATTAATGTGAACACTAGTATGAAGCATAATTGATTAATTAGACAAGCTATATGGATGAGTCCAATGGGAAATGCTAGAAAAACAACCCTCCTTGCAATGGAAACCTTTATAGATTACAATAAAAATGCAACACGTAGAAATCCTTTCCCCCTGAATCAATATTGAATCCCATTAGAAAAATCTAGCGTAAGTGACATTATTGATCTGACACCTGACATAGTCTGTGTGTATTTTTTCTGATGACACCTCGGGAGATATCTTAATCTCACTGGAGACCTTCAAATGTCAAGATTCATTTCTCTCTGCTCCCTTTGGAACGATGTTATTATGGTTGGGGAGATGACAGTTGGATCAATTATGCATAAGGTGAGAGTGTGTGGAAGGCATCTATGCAAATCAAGCTCGCCATGTCGATGGCAGTGAAATTAATGAAAATGCTCCATTGGAAAGTGGTCACTTGAGTTCAGTTGAGGTTGGTTCCCACCAGGCAGGCCTTGAAAAACTCCAGAATTTGTTTCAGCACACTTCAGCTGCTTGCATCCAACATCTACCAACTCTTGTTAGACCTCAAATTCCCATAATTGCTGCTTTGAAGAAAAGTCGATAATACAGACAAAATGGTATGAGTTAGCTTGTTAGCTTAGCTTTGTGAAGTGTAATTCCTTCATTTATATGAGGCATAGCTACGTATTATCTGCACTAATTTAAAATTAAGGAAAATGTAGAAATTACAATTCAAATGAGAGCGCTTAATATTTTGGAAAATACAACTATCTCTGTTTTTGCCAAGAGTTTAATGACAAAAATGTTTGTCTTTATGGTAAATATGAAACTTTAACCAGCAGCTTGGCCAGTTATCTTAGCTTAGCATCAAGAAGAAACCTGGCTCTGTTCAAATTTATCAAAATCCAACTGTTGGACCAACAAACTCAGAAATAAATATAATATATCCATCCATCCATCCATACCTCAATCCATCCACCCATATATACAAACACCCCTCAATCAACTATTCATCCATTTGTCAACTATTCTATTACTCTATCATCCATCCATCCATCATTCTATATTTTTATCCATCCGTTTATCCATCAATCCACCAATTATTCTAACTATCCATCCATCCATCCCTCTATCCATTTATCCATTCTTTCACTCCTGGGTAAAGTATGTTTTTTGCCATATTGACCGATGTATTTAACATGTAATCCAAACTCTAAACTGATTCATAGTCATCCTTATCAGATTACCAAAAACACCTCAGCCGGCTCCCTTTTGAAGCAAAGCAGCAGCAGATCTAGTCCTGCTGTAACTCTTGCCAGATGTAGAGCTAGAGCCCAGCCATCTAAAGGAGAAAAAGCTCATATATGCCCTTGTATTCCCCATCCAATTCTCTAGTCCCTACCCAAGGCTCATGAATATAAGAGAGGGTTTGAGTCTAGATCTACTGGTAAATCATGAGCTTTGCCATCAGAGATCCTGAGACTCTTTATCTCCTTCCCTTTGGGCAGCTATTCACTCCCAACCTGGAAGAAGAAATCCATCGTTTACCAGCAGAAGGCCACGGCCTGAGACTTTCATTCCCACTACTGCCGTCTTGACCGCAAACCATCCTGGTGTGTGCTTAAGATCATGGTCTGATGAAGCCAATAGAGCACCATCATCTGCATAAAGCAGTCACAAAATTCAAACGCGTCTCAACTCGACTCCACCTTGATATCCTCTCTGTGGGAATTTCAATGGGATATAGACATGGGGTAACATTGAGAGTCCAACACTTGAGAGTACCGGTATATATAAAGCTCTTACTCTGGGTAAAACCAGGTAACAGCAATGCTTTCATCCTACCAACAACAAGATTCCCCTGAGAAAATTAGCCTTTTCTAGGTCCTCAAAACACAAGCAGCATGAAGCAGCATGCCTTCAGTGATCCATTCAACAAACCCTGCAAGGATAAAGAATACAAGTAATATTTTATTGGTTAAAGATGACAAAAAAAGCGTAAGAACAAACATTGACTGGATAACCGCACTTGGCTAGCTGTTCCCCCATCTTTACATTATTGGCTTTCTCTAAGTTAAGCTAAGCTAACAGCTGCAGGATGAAACGTTATATTCATCATGTAAGCAGAAACAGAGAAATAAAGTATCTGCCAAAGTACTATCGGATATTTATTGACAACATATGATTTACTTGCTATTTTTTCCAAGAGCTTTTGAAAGAACGATATGTAACTTTTACACATTAAAATAAAAGTTGCAAAGTTGATCTGACAGAACGACATCTTTCAACTGTGAGAATAGCGTCTCTCCGATGTCCACAGAGCAGTAAGCACAGCGCTACACTGGGGCTAGGGGGCGCTATAGCCACATCACAGCATCACAGATATGTCAAGCCCTGGTTAAGCCCCCTCATCTATGTCTGCTTTTATTTGGAAAAAAAAAAAGAGAGAACTCAAAAAGTAACTACAAATTCATGAAAATGGACTACTCATAGCACCCCAACATATTAGTGAAGCTCCCCTCAGCACCAGGAGAAAATAAATCCTGACACTGTCCCTGGCAGCACAATCACCTGTTTATAGCACAAGTAATTGAGCACATGTATAGCACATGTAAGTTTGGCAGCGGGTCGCAGTTCTCTCATGGAAGTGTGTACGGCTTTACGTTGCTGGCCTCGGTACTGTTTGATACGACGGCTGAGGATAAGAGGAAGAAGACAGTGAAGACTGAAGCTTAGAGAAAAGGAGAAATAACCGAGCAAGATGCCGAGTGTACATCCCTGCAGATATTATTTAAAATCTGTGATGGGGAGCCAAAACATTACCGTGTGATTGACAGCAGTGCAGTTGAACTCAGCGACCTATGGTGGGCGCCAAAGTGCACCAAACTGAATTCCTATATAATGTTGCTTTAAAGGCATTTTGTGGTCTTCAATGGAAACTCTCTCTGCTTCAAAAGGCTTGAAAAAATAATTTAGCAAACTTGATTTTACATTTGAAATAAAATAAGGACATGGAAATACAGTATATAGCCTACTATATGCACACACACACAGTGGATTTAACATCTGTATGTAGTATGTGCATAGGAGACAGGTGTGATCGTGTAAGCAGAGGAGAGTGTTTGCAGAGGGTGGATATAGTCTAGTAGGGCGTTCCTTTTTCTTGTATCCTTCCCTGTTCCTCCATATCTTTTTCTGCTCCTAATCCTCTCACTCTTTGTCTCAAAATCTCTGCTGTAATCTCTCTCCTGGCTCATTCTCATATCAACAGCTCCACCAACAGGTTGAAAGAAATACTCCCAACCCTCTGCCTTTCCATCAGTCCAAGGAGATCTCTGCATTTTGCCTCCACGGGGGAAAAACACCAGCACATATTTTCAAGGCCTGTGTTTTAAATTTACTGAGCTGTTTCCACGTGAACTGTTCAGGTGAGGAGAGATTATTTATTGACATTTATCGCACAGCAATGCTGCATCAACAGAGTCACAGGGTGAAATAGTGAGGGTGCTGCACAATTGGCACAGAGCAGCTCTTGTTATTGCCTCTATATACGTCAAATGATGTCATGTACAGGAAATGCTCAGTAAATCAGCTTCCCTACAGGATCTACGACGGGTTCCTTTGAGAAATATTTGTGAGACACATCGCCTAAAGCATCAGCTGTGTGAATTCTGAGCACACACTGACAGAATACAACTTCCAGATTCGTCCACTGGGAGGCAGAGATGAGGCAAGATGGCTTGTGTTATGCAAACAATCTCAGGAAGCCTCTTATTTCAGCTTAAAGGGAGACATTTGTTTCAGGCAGGATGCATTGAATATGTGGGACTTTATTAAACATCACTGAACATCTTTTGAACATGCTTAATTTATCGTTCCATTAACATTATCCGCTTTTAATTTGGCAATTATCATCCAATTGTCTTGACAAGAAATTTTAAGATGTGAAAAATATTTAAATGTTTTAATCGATGATTATATTCACTCCCATCAGATTATTTTGTTTAGATCCACCTGAATATAAAATCCAATAAAAAATATATCTTTTTAGGTGCATTACAGAGTAACAAGGGTTTTTTTTTTAGACAGTGTAAGTAACTACATTGAGCTTTATTCTGATATAAATGTTTCTCTATTGAAACCTTGTATTTTCAACATTTAGCTTAATTTATTTATATTTGCCATCACCTTTTCCTAATTCCCAGCAGAAAACATGATCGACAAATATGCTAACTTTGAGGAAAGTAAAGATAAAGATAAAGATAAACTTTATTGATCCCCGTGGGGGAAATTTGTGCATTACAGCAGCTCAAGAAAACAGGGGACGAGAATATACTTATTAAAAATAAAAATAGAAGTTAAAAATGAAATCAAACATATTTACATCAGTTAAATAAAAAATACAATAATGGACAATTACACAGTAACTACACAGGAAAGAGTTATTGTTATTAAAAAAAACACACACAGTGTGTAGCATGAGGTGGTGATGCTGTTAAAGAGTCTGATTAAACAGTATGTAATGTATGTGTAATGTGTATGTTGTGTAATGTTGTTAAACACAATGGAAAGGATTCTTTTTTTTTTTCAAAAATAAAGAATATGGAATCACTTTGAAAACTTAAAAAATGAAAAGGAATTAATTTGTTGTTTTCCAGTTACCACATTATCTGTATGTACCTCTCCACGCCGCCAGAGGGCGCTGCTGCAATTCCAGCGCCACGCAACAGGCGGAACTTGACGTGGCAAGCAAACGGTTCACTTCCTGTACTCGGTGCTCTGTTGACATCCGTCTCATTAAGTCGCATCTACGTCTGTCACCCCGGACTTCCCCCGGGTTCGTTTTGAGGGTCTTGTCCCTCTTCACTCGGGCCGGTGACCGTGTGACGTGAAGCGGACTGTAGCAGCTCTGCAGCCGGGTTAGGAGCGATGACGGCGGGGCTGCTGATGGTGGTCGTCGGGGGTCTGCTGGATGTCTGCAGCGGCGTCTCTGCAAACAGAGGAGGGTACCCGACTTTCACCGACGAGATCCCCTTTAAAATCACCTGGCCGGGTCCTGAATTCACGCTGGTATGTTTCCTACATCATTAGCTCTGTCATTAAAAAAAAATTACACTGTTGCCATGGCGACACTCACTTCATATTTACCTGTAATAAATAAATGTTTGTCTGTGGACTTCAGCCGACCTCAGGTGTGCTTTATAAAGAAGAAGATTACGTCATCATGACGACGACAGAGAAGGAGAAGTATAAATGTCACCTGCCCTCCCTGAGACCTGGAGAGGAGGTGAGACAGAAACAAAGTTAAACTAGTTTTTATTGTTCAGCTCAGTTTTAATTCACCTGAAAAACATTCATTCTTATTTTGTGCATTTTTATTTTATTTATTTGTTTGTCAATTTTATTTCATTCAAAGAAACAATAAAGTTAAGAAAAACAAACAAAGATAAAATCTCAAATTTTGAATGAAAAGGAGCAGAAAGAAAAAACTCTTTCACAAAACATTAAGTAAAACAAAAGAGAACACTTCATTCAAAAACAATTACAATTAAATTAAATTGGCTGCAGGCAAACAGCCGCTGGCAGCCCCGTAAGTCCTCCTTAACAATTCATTATGCACCTTACAAAGCATGTCACGGTACATTTTTTGTTACAGCATCACGAAACAGAACAATACATCTCACTGACATATTTCCACATATTTATTCAACAAAGTGGCTTTAATGTTTCTTTTAAATATCATGTTTGATTTTGATTCTTTAGTTTCTCTGTTGAGATTCCTTTCACAATAAAACAACGTTCCCTCAATTTGGTTCTGAATCTCGCTTTATTAAAGATCTCTGTTCCTTTTAGATTATAACGGCTTTCCCTTTTTTCAATTTTATTTGTATGTTTGATGCTGATTTGTTATTGCTCTTGTCTTTTCTGATCGAGCTCCATCCGCTGCCCTAATGTCTCGCACTAATCTTTTATTTTTTTGTCGTCTCAGGGCAGTGATAAGGACTACGCCGGGCCCACTCCTGGTGAACTGCTCGAGCCGCTGTTCAAACGCAGCAGCTGCTCCTACAGGGTGAGACTTTGACTTTCTCATTTCCCCCGTTTCACTCTCAGGGCAGACAATGAAACCACGATCATTCCTTCACAGCTACGTTTGCAGAGCATCTGGTTCAGGTTATTTTGTTTGTTGTACATGTAGGTAAATTAGTTTGCAGGAAGTGTCACAGATTCTTAATGAAGCACAGACAATAATGTAAAACATAAAAAAGTGCAAATGCATGGTACCGGTACATGTGCAAGAGGGGAAGTGCATAAAGTGTGCAGATTATAATCGTAACATTTGATTAACAAGTTGATCAGTAAAGGTTACAGAGTCTAGAACATAAAAAAGATAAATAAATAAATAAATGAAGCATTTAAAAGCATCAGCTTCCCAGTCTGCTATCTCTGTCCCTCAAAACACGACCTTCATGAAACTACCAACAACCACGCCAAGCAGCAAAGATGAAAATGACACAAAAATGAAACTTCTACTAAAGGCTCAGGCTTTTTATTCACTTCAGTCCATGAGATGACCCCGCCTTTGTTTGGGACAGGTGTCACCACAGCACAGGCTCGTGCACAGCAAAGATAGGAAAGACTATAAACAACTATAGACTTTGTAATTCACACCAGTAAGAATATTTGATGTCAAAGGTTGCACAAAGTTTGGATAACAGATTTAGATTTTTAAGACAAGCGGCTGCACGACTGGTCCGCATGCAAGCATCATTGTGTCTTTCTTGGACAGATGTGGAGGTATTTTTTGAGTCCTGCTGCTTCTTCTTCACACATTTAATCCCCTTACTAATCAACACTACATGCACATTGTTGCCTTTAATTGAGACCAGCCCCGTATGTGTCTGAACGTGCAGCAACACAAGGCTAGTAAAAAGGCCTGGGCGTTAAATTGTGTTATGCTTGTATTTGAAGTTTTACGGTACACACACACACACACACACACACACACGCACACATCCTCTGATTTACACTTGTGAGTAGAGGTTTGTTTGTTATCGTTGCCGCAGATCGAGTCGTACTGGACGTACGAGGTGTGCCATGGAAAGCATATACGACAGTATCATGAGGAGAAGGACACCGGGCAGGTCAGTATGAAATTTAACTTTTGATGTGAAGAAGAAGAAGTGATGGACTGAATGTTATGACGTGTGTGTTAACAGAAAATTAATGTTCAGGAGTACTTCCTGGGAAACATGGCCCAGAAGAGCACGTCGACTGAAACTGGTGTGTTGTGTGTTGTTTTTACTTTTCTCATATCTAATGTTTGTTAATGTGTGTGCTCGTCTTTTTCTCATCGATCTAAAGCTGTGAATTCATATTTTAGATAAAGAAGAAGAAGACGCAGAAGATGTGAAATCAGCAGATGAAGCAGAAGTAAGGAAACGAAATGTAAAAAAAAAAAAAAAAAACTTCTGATTGACCGAGCTGCATTTCTATTCTCACACTTTTCCTCTCTCTCTCTCTCTCTCTCTCGCTCGTCCAGGTGCCCACCAAGAACATCGAGGGTCAGCTGACTCCGTACTTCTCGTTGGAGATGGGGAACGGGACTCCCTGTGTGCTGAAACAGAACACGGCTCGCTCCTCGTCCGTGCTGTACGTCTGTCATCCCGAGGCCAAACACGAGATCCTGTCTGTGGCTGAAGTCACCACGTGTGAATACGAGGTGGTGGTGCTGACGCCGCTGCTCTGTGCACACCCAAAATACAGGTAGATAGAAAAGTGACCACGTTCGGGTAGAAGGAATGACCTCTGTAGAGGAAGTAGGAAGTGACCACGTTCAGGCAGAAGGAATCGACCTCTGTAGAGGAAGTAGTGATTCTTGATTCCTGTTTCTCAGTTTCTTTTTAGCCAGCAGATGTCAGTCTTTCCTCAGTCCTCAGTTATTTTGTTTTTCTTTCTGTCTTTGTTCTTTCTCCTTCCTTCCCTTCTATATTTCCTTTTTTCTGTTCTTCCTTCCTTCCTTTCCTTCTTTTTACATTTTTCTTTTTTCTTCCATCCATATATCCTTTCTTAGTTTCTCCTCAGTCCTTCTCTCTGTCTTCCATTATTTTGTTTTTCGTTCTTCCCTCCATCCTTCCTCGGATCCATCCTTTCTTTCTTAAAGCCTTCCTTCCTTCACACCTTCCTTCTTTTCTATCGTTCTTTCTTTCCTCCATCCTTTTGTTCTTTCTCCTTCCTTCCATTTTTTATTTCTTTTTTCCTTTTCTTTTTTGACTGTCCTTCCTTCCTTCCTCTCAAATCTGTGCTTCCTACATTCCTTTCTTTCCTCATTCCTTCCTTCCTTCCTACCTACATTCCTTTCTTTCTTTTTTTCTTTCTTTATCATCTCGACCTCTCATCAGAGTCACCTCAAACATTCCCTACTCTCGCGGTGTTCACTCCTCATACCATCAGGCCGAGACTTTACAGACCATAAGAACACAAACACAACAGGAAAATAATTTATACTTAAGTACAAAATAAGAATAATTTAATAAACATCAGGACAAACTTAAAATCGACATAAATTCCTTTCAGGTTCAAGTCTTCTCCGGTGAACGCCATCTTCTGCCAGTCTCTGGCCGGCTCCCCTCTGCAGCCTCAGAAGCTCGCCATGTTGGACAAGGAGCAGGAGGATCTGCTCAAACCGCCTTTCCGCGCCAGCGCCGAGACCACAGAGGTGAGACATGTCGGGTATGAGAGCGGGCGCCGTGCTGTGTTATGATGACATGTGACTGAATACGACCTGTGATGTGTCGCAGGAGGAGGTGTCGCCGGTGAGAGAGGAGGCCTTCAGCTCCACCCACAAGCCCATGATGGTCGGAGGGCAGTCTCAGGTCACCGTCGGCACCACCCACATCTCTCGCCTGACGGATGAACAGCTGATCAAAGACTTCCTGAGCGGCTCGTACTGCCTGCACGGGGTGAGGCGTGTTCAGAGCACGAGACATGTCCGATCATTTGTTCAGTTTAATGGGTTTTAATCAATTTGTGTTTCAGGGCGTCGGCTGGTGGAAATATGAATTCTGTTACGGAAAGCATGTCCACCAGTACCATGAGGTAAGAGTCCCACCTTTCTACTGTTCCAGTGGCCCAATCCCAGAATCCACACAGTCCCAGTCTTCACTCCCACAGATTTAAAGACTCTAAAACGTGCTCAAACTAGGATCAATATTGGAGATGCTTTTGAAAAATGGAGAGAGGTTAGAACACAGAAAGGTTTACAGACCCATGCAGAGCTGGATAAACACTGAAGCTTCAGAGTCCACCACATGGTGACCTGAGTGAGCATCCACTCTAGAGAGGAAGGAAAGGGGAGACAGCTCTCTTCAATGGTTTTCAATTTGGACTGCAGTACCCATTTTAAACACTAGGTGTCAGAGTTACATACTGCTCCTTTAAAAAAGTGAATCGAGCCCTACTACAGTATTTACAACAGCAGCTCAGTGCACCAGATTCCTATTCCCTCAGTCTGATTAAAGAACTGATAAACAGGAAGGTTTGGATCATATTACCATGGCTTTAGTCAAAATCGAATCTGAAAAAGTGTGCAGCAATCCTGGGGAGGCTGTTGATGTTATATATTAGTAGTTACACTTTTAGTTAAATATCTTCTTAGGATCTACTTTTATGTCTTTCCTGATTTTTGGTCATTTGCTACACTGCTCCACTGGACTTTATAAATGTTTCTTCCTTACATGCACTCTGAGTAGTTACACACATTAAGATTTTTTCTCATAGTCTGCACAGCTTCTACATTGCACCTTTTGTACATTTTGTGTTTTTGATTTCTTATTTTTCTGATTTTTTACTTTTATTTTTTATATTTTACATTTTAAATTCTACTTTATATATTGTAATATCTTCTTATTCTGTATTATTTAAGTTGTTGCTAGTTCTGCTTTATTTCCTTGTTAATTGTTTAGCACTAATACACCAAGTCTAATTCCTTGTATGTGTAAATGTACTTGGTAATAAACCCAGATTCTGATTCTGATTCTGATACTGAATGTTAAAACAGAAGTGCGAACTGGAGGTTTAGCTTATTTTTGAATTGTCATTTTGAGGCATGAGGTCAGTAAAGTCTGTGAGGGTCTGAAGTCGAGATCGGGGGTTGGGTCTGTGTCTGTGCTGAGGCAGGGTCATTTGTGCAGATTGTACATGTGTTGATATATTTGTGAAGACAAAGTGATCGTCAGCCCGTTAGACTGTGTTTGGATAGTGATGAACACGTCTCTCTTCCAGGAAAAAGAGCAGGGTAAGAACATCGTGGTGGTCGGGAGCTGGAACATCGAGGAGCACATCGATTGGGCGAAGAAGAACGTCGCCCGATCCTACCAGCTGAAAGACGACGGAGTGCAGAAAGTCAAGTAGGACATTATTTATATCTCTGAAACCAAAACTGGATGTAAATCAAACTGAGACCATGATTCATTTTTTCTGTTCTCCAACAAATAGGTTGGTTTCTCACTTTTACGGCCACGGCGATGTGTGTGACCTGACGGGGAAGCCGAGGCAGGTCACCGTGAAGCTCAAGTGAGTGAATACTAGTGATGGGAGGGGGGAGGGGGGACAAAGAACCAGTTTGGTGTCTTTTTTTTTTTTACTTTTGCTGATTCACTCATCTCATTTGTCTTCTCACCGTCAGATGTAAGGAGTCTGATTCTCCCCACGCCGTCACTGTCTACATGCTGGAGCCTCAGACCTGCCAGTACATCCTAGGGGTAAGTTCATAAGTAACCAATGAGTGACTTTACTCTCTTTGTGAGGGTTAACACTTAAAACTTAGCATGCATGTTAATGTCTGACTGACCTTGTTTCTTTTTATGTTTTTTTTTATGATCCTAGGTTGAGTCTCCGGTCATATGCAGGATTCTTGACACCGCTGATGAACATGGACTTCTGTCGATCTCCAGCTAAACTCAGAAAAGATCCAGACAGAAACGATGCACGAGGGACAAGAAGAGGATGGACAGGTGCTCTTGAAGGAATTGGTCACCTCTTTCTGAGAGGAAGAGATAGATGCTTATGAAGCTGCACCAAATGCCAAATTGAAGGTTTTTCACTTGATCCTGAGGCTGGACTTCAGGTAACCTGGGAGCGCAGCCTCTGCCCCGTGCTCATCTCTGCAGAGGTGAGATGCTACAGCCGAGATAAATCCAGCTGGCAAGATTGAAAAGAAGACGGGAAAACAGTCAAAATGGGGCTGAAGCCTCTCTCTCCATAAGGCATTCGATTTACCGCCTGTCCTTCTTATCTATGCTTCACTTTGTGTTGAAAAATTCCAAGCGAAGGGTTACTGATCATCAGGGACGGCAACAATATTCATGGTGGTTCGATTGTGTGTGAGTGTGTGTGTGTGTGTATGAGTTATGAAAAAAGAAGCAAGTCTGGGAATGTTTCTGCAGCAGTTAGGATGTGTGCTGTGAGTGTAAGTTATGCATTAGGGGGACGGGGGAGAAGAAATTTAAGTTTGCAGAAGTTTTGAATTCTTAGTTTGTGGGACATGCAGAATGTCTGTGGGCTCCTTTAAGAGGTATTCTGTGGTTTTATGACGATGAACACTGGGGTCTTGTTAACTGCTGTATCACAGGGATGGATATCAATGCATTTGCAGCAAAGAATAAAATCAAACATGAAACCTCAGTCGTTGTCTTCCATCATCACAAAAGAAAACATACAAAGATATGAAGACTTGTAGAAATCATGAGGTATTTAGTTTGTTGTCTTGAGAAATCGTGTATATTCTGTGTTAAACATGAAGTCTGACTGAACCCTGAAGTGCTTTGAAAAAGAGTTGCACACTTTGTAATTTTGTTTTGCACTTCCCAGCTGGTGTTTTTATCCTGAGTAACAAAAAAAACAAACTCAGATCTTGAGGAAACCACCCAAACATACGCCTTCTCACAGGAAAACAGAGTCAAATAAATGTTATGAAACATGTCGGCTAAGGGGGAGTTGTGATCATTCTAAAAACAACCTATTTACATAAGGTTTAAAAAGTGTTTAAGCTTCATGTGTCTAAGCGTTTAGCTCTTTGTACTTTAGGGTTTTTCCCCCAAATATGTCCCTTAAAAAAAGTAACAAAGAAGTCCTCACATAGAATACGTTGATCCTCTTACCCATGGAGCTGTGTCACATTATCAAAGTATATTTATGGCCACCAGAGGGTGCTGACGCTGCATGAATTGTTTAACAGTTTCTTAAGAAAGGATGAGTGGCATCACATTTATCCAGCATCATTACAAGTTAAAGTAAAATGTACACAGACTTGTTGAACATGTGCTGTACTGTTTTTCTCAATCTTACAAAGTCCCAAAAAGAAAATAAAACATCTTGTGGGCACAAGATATAAACTCTCACATTACAATTGAGTTAGGCGCACAATCTTAATATCTAGTTGTATAAATGTAGTTGCGCGCACAAGTTAGATAACAATTTTTGTGTGACAGAGAGAGAGCGAGAGAGAGAGAGAGAGCGGGTAATGACATGTGGAAAAGGAGCCACAGGTCAGAATCGAACCAGGGCCGCCCACCTGGAGGACCGTAGCCTCCGCACATAGGGCGCACGTACTAAACACCTGGCTCATTCTCAGTCTATTTAAAGTGAAAAATGCAGACTGACCGAACTAAAAATAATCCATGAATATTTGTTGCTTGAATGTAAAATAAAGAAAAACATTTGAAATGTAAGCTAATGGATATATCCGCAATGCTGCAACACAAATTTGCAGGCCGAGTGCTTTATATGAACATTTTAAAGTGTATACTGTAGTGGTGCAAATCCAATAATATCCATATTGTTGCTCTTCATCCTTTTATAAGTCTAAAATATTAATCGTTTGTTGTTTTTGGACCGCACGTAACCCTTAGATTTGTATATTTTGAACGTGTTGTTAATTGTTTGTCTGAAACTTATCTTAAGACGTTAAAAACGCTCATCATTTTTGGCCAGATCCTGTGACGAGTCCAGTATAATCATCCTTCAGAGATTTGATTCACTATCAAAGTGTTGAATGATCTCTGCACCAGTTCCCGTCTGACTGAGGCGGCTAACAAAGTGAGCGATTTGTTTCAGCGGAAATAAGTGAAAGCACTGAACGTCTGCACTTGCCGAACATTTATTGTGTTGAAAACTTTATGAGGTTCACAAATACATTTGTCTGAAGAAGCAAAAGTCCATCAAAAGTGCAACCACATGCCATCGACAGCCATGTGTGAGCCTGTGCAGACATTCATCACAGCCCCAACGCTGCCGCAGCTGATGTCAGCGCTGAAAAAACTCCAAACGGAGCGGAGACAGCAGCGAGACCAACCACTGCAGACTCCGGCTGTCATGAAGTCTTGGGTTATATTGGCACATGCGTGTGCAACACTGGGGCAGATTAATGCAAAATGCATTCAGTAAAACAACAAGTCAATAAATCAATCAACCATGTTCACAGGTCAGCCATTTTCCTCCAATGTCACAGTCAGGGTGACAATCTTTTACTACTCTTCTCTAAGTTCTGAGTCAGACATGTTGTTGTTCATCTCTCCGGCATTCTCAGCGTCTTTAATCGGTTCAGTGAGAAATCCTAAGTAACATCAGGCCAATATCTTTAAAAACAAAAGGTATGAATGTATTTTTAACCCATTTGCTACCAAGAGACAGAGCTAATGTTAACATCCCGCTAATTTCTAACGGATATAAAATGACAGAATGCTAATATTACAGCTTGTTATAAATTAAAAGCCAGTTATTCAAAGTTAATGATAGTTAAGTGACTACATTCACTATTGTCTATGGTAGGTCATCAAATATTATTAGAAGTTGTCGTACAATTAGTTTTAAAATGCCTTATTTCCTTAGTGTCGAGTCTTGAATCCAAACTTTCTGTATGAAACTGTTTTAGCTGATTAATTTCTTGTGTAGGCCTACTGTATGAGTTTGAGTGTTTTTGATGTTGAAACTCTGTGTTGCTGCTATAATTGGCAGGTTTCCTTTGAAAAATGGGACTGACACGGTTAAATAAAGGCTGAATAAATAATAAAACATACCATATGGCAGTGCTAACTTAGCATTTAGCCAATTTGTAGTGGATGTTAACGTAAGAGGAAATGGCAGAAAGCAATATTACAATTTTATACTAAAGGAAAGGTAACATAATAGGCTATTGGTTAGGGACTTGTTAAATGTCAACACTCCCTGTTGTCTTTATTTATTACATACATATGGCCCAATTTAGTTTTCCATTTTGCATCCATTAGTTAGCTACACAATGACAGGGTGCATTATAGCATTCAGCATGGCGTAAATTACTGCTAGCAAAGGAGGAGTTTGATATTATAGGAATGGAAGTTATTCAAAGCTAGTTAGGGAGTTACCACTCTCTGCTGTCTGTAAGTCACCAAAAATAAGGCTCAATGTCTTGACAATTTTCCATTTTCTACCTATTAGCTCCTATCTGACAGTGCTAACATTAGCATTAGGCTAATTAATAGCTGAAATGATAGGAAATGCTAACATGAAAGGTAAGGTAGTAAATCATAGCTAACACATTGTTGGTTTAAAAGTTGTTAAATATTAACATCCCAATGTGTCTATGGCAGGTTATCAAATATTCTTTATTTAAATCTTATGGTCTATGTCCATGATAGTTCATAGGGGATCAAATATGTTGATTTAATTCAAAATATGGCCTGTTGTCCCACCGTCTTCTCATTTGTCGATCAATATACTGTAGAAGATTTCAAATGATTTGATTTGTCACGTAGCCTACACTACCTCAGTGCAGCAGTATGACATTAATACAGCATTTGAACTTCCAGCCCTGACTGTGATATAAGAAGAACATGGACACTTTGGGAATACGGTCTATTCATTAACAGCAAATAACATTTTTTGAGACACTTTCATGACAAATCTATTGCTTGGTTTCCATGGCAAGGCTTGTAATTCTGATACTGAAATTTCCCCACTCAAGAAAACGTGACAAGTATTTCCACTGCCGAAGAGAACAAAGGGTTAATACAGATTTCCAAATACATCAAATGGGTTGTTGTCATGTTCCTCTTTTGACTTATGGTCCAAACCTTTCTGATTTAGCAGTTCTTTAATCAGACCGAGGGAATAGGAATCTGGTGCACTGAGCTGCTCTCAAAGTCTTGCAGTGCGTCTTGATGAGTGTGGTAGTGCATCGCTACGTACGACTTGGCAAACGCGAACGTCTGAGAGCTCACGGGCTGCAGGCTGGTGGGCGAGCTGGGCCCTGCAGAGGGGCTGCTGTTGTATATACTGTAGTAGGGCTCGATGCGCGTGTTGATAGGCGTAGAGGTGCTCGGAGGGCGGGGCTTGCGAGCACCTGTGGCCTTTGGACTCCCCACACAATCCCTGGAGTGACTGGGTCCGCACGCCTGGTCCACCAGCCTCCTCTGTGGCTTAGGCGACAGCACATAGGCCGAGTTGGTCTCGTGGTGGGAGGATTTATTGCGGTTGACTTCCAAGCTGCCCTTCCCCATCGCATGCAGGCGAGTCTTGTTTTTGCAGCAGAGGAAGCCCAGAGCGGCCCACTGCACGCAGCACAGCACGCGGCGGCGGAGGCCCGCACTGTTGCGCGAGTACACAAAGGGATTGATTCCCGACTTGAGGAAAATCAGCACAAAGCCGCACAGTTCAATCTGGTAATGCGCAAAGCTGCTTTCCGGCGACAAAACGTCCTGCGCCAGAGAGACTCCCATCGGCAAGCAGCACAGCAGCACCGAGAACACGATCACCACGCACGTGACGACCGCCTTGGAGTCTTTGGCGGTGGCCAGGTTGACCGTGGAGACGAGCTGGCAGCAAGTGGCTCCTTGTGCAGCTCCGGGAACAAGAGGCTGGCTGGTTTTGTTGGCATACGAGTGTATCTGAACGTTCTGCAGTTTGTTGTAAGTCTGGTTGCGGTACAGAGGCGGGGCAGGAACAGCACACTGCATGTTCTCAAAGCCCGCTGCGAGGAGAGGTGGTGGAGGTGGCGGGCAAGTGGCATCTACGCTGATTACTGGACATTTTCTCACTTGTGCGTTCTTCCTTAGCGTCTGCGCAATCATAAGATAGGATACAGACACCACGGCGACACAAAAAGCAAAGTCTGCCAGGTAGACGTACAACACGACCCTGGCCTTTCCCCCTCCAAAACCAAAGTGGGGCAAGCACGGTCCGTCTCTGCGGGGGTACGCTCGCATGGTTAGCAGGGCGGCCAGGGTGAAGCTGGAAGTCCACAGCAGGGCGGTGAGGGTTAAGGTGCAAGGGAAAGAGGCGGTGCGGTTGGGCTGCTGCCCCAAAACCATGCGCAGCCTGTGCAGAGCGATGACCGCCACCGTCTCCAGCGACATGATGATGAAGCCCGAGCTGGTCAAGTGGAACGCAAAGCAGAAACTCTTGGACACACCGTCCCCTCCGCCCGCGTCCAGGAAGAGCACCAGGGCAAACATGGGAGCGGTCACACAGCAGATAAACAAGTCGCAGAAGGACAGGTTGAGGATCATGAAGTCGAAGTTGGTGCGGAATTTGCGGAACATGGGGTCGAAGAAGGACAGGAACACCACGAGGTTGCCGTAAGAGCCCAGGAGGAAGATGAAGACGAGGAGGAGAGAGCAGAAGGTCAAGGTGGCGGTGTGGATCACGGCCCAGCCCGATGGACTCTGCGCGCCCAGGTTGCTGCTGAAGTTCTGCTGTCGCGGCACATCCAGCAGGTCCGGTGGGGTAACAGTGGCGTTCATTTTATAATCCGGGTTTTATAAAACTCCCAATGTCTTCAAAGTCAACATTCTTCTTCTACAAAGGTTGATGATCACAGGATCTTCTGCCTCTGCCATGTCTGCCACCTTGGTAGAGTGCTACAAGAGATACATTCATATATCAGCTGCAGAACATCAAATGTAATACATTCACAGAAATGCAAACTTGTATATACAGTTAAATTGAAATCGGGCAAAAATAGGTAAAAAAGACTTTTGAAGCAAGTCTTATTAGTCCAATCAAAAACATGCTAGATAGAAGGCACTCGAACTGCACATGCTCAGTTAGACTTTCCTCTAATCACAAAGACAGACCTGACCACCGGGTGCAGAAAGTCATCGAAGTTATGTCTCAGGTTTGTATACAAATTAATAAATAAATCAGTTTTTTTACTCTAAAATGGGCTCCAGACGCTAGCAGAGTCATATTTGCGTAAAAATCCGGTATTATTACTGTAGCTTGTCAGTCGACATGTGTTTTTTGGTTTCTAAAAACATCGCCCCTCCGCTTGTCAACAAATGCATGCCGTCTGTGATCGGGAGCCATAACAGCGTGTTTTTGTGTTTTACGACAGTGCAACTGCACTCAGGGACCTTCGGTGGGCGCAAGAGCGCACCGAACCGAATTACTACATATTGTTGCTTTAAGGTACGTAGGCGTTATACGCATAAAAAACAAAAGTCAGTAACTGTAGTTTGATAAATATGACTAAATTAATTAATAATACAAGTTTTACTATTGAAAAGATAAATTAATAATGAGACAAAATGCAAAAGTTACATTTTTTTTCCCTTCAGCATCAATACATTTCTATCCTTTTGTATTTTATTATTTTTTAATTTTTTGGATTTTTGGATTTGGGGTAACATATGACTTGGTCAATTAAAATCGTTTTTTTCACTGATATAGATAACTGGCAGACACACGTTTAATATGTATTATGTGGTTAGTCTGGTGCATATTGTAGGCCTATAAATTAATAACTGAGAGAAATGCAAAAAAAAAATTGTTGCAGCAGCTCCCGGTCTCCCCTGTTTTAGAAATAGGAAGTTTGATGCAATACGTGTTACACACAATCTACAGCAGCAGGTTATATAGCTATGCACCACTACGGCCGATTATACCTGAGCTACCCCCGTCTCCCCCTGCCACCTCCCCAAACACACACACACACACACACACACACAGTCTACTGAAATCTACAGGACACATTTGTAAATAAGCGTTTTAATATATGTACTTAAATTTCAAGACAATGTCTATTAACGATGACAAAATTAAACCTACCATGTTAAGTCGATCGTGCGTACATCCTCACGACCCTCCCCATCATTTCATACAGCCCATCTTCATTTTAAAGCAATATGATGGTCATTGAACGCACCGCGGCTTCGAAAAGAAACCCCTATTATCATCCCAACCGGAGCAGTCCACGGACAAACACGATATTCTATGCCATGTGTTAATTTTAAAAGGTTTTACAGCTCAAATAGATGGTAAAAGCGTATTCGTTTTCTTGGAGATAAATCCATTCTTACAGAGGAGCGACGGCCACTGGACGTGCACTGAAAAATGAGTATGAAGTCACTGCCTACGTATCTGGGCATGAGCATAAGCACTGCATTCAAGTAGACAGTCTGTATGGGTTACTGTCTCTTTAAAATAATAGTGCTCCTATTTAGTTATAAAATATATTTCCACCAATTTTTACAGCATAATATTTAACCAAAAAAATAAATAAAATAATGTACAAATAATTTTAATTATTTAATTATTTTTTTGCCCCGCTTTTCAACGCTGTCCTTGGGAGTAGTAGCTCATCAACTTTGTTGCTAGGCAACACATAGCGATGATTGTCTGGCAATACTGAAAGCCGGGACAGTCAGTGACCCTGTAGCAACAAGGAAGACCCGAAGACCAAGATAATGCTCTTCTTAGCAGATTTATAAATTTTTTTAAAGAGGACATATTATCCTCCTTTTCAAACAGTCCCACTGTGGTCTAAATGAAACATCTGTGCTGTGCTTTGATCAAAATATAACATGAATCAAGCACCAGAGGAGGTTTGTGACCCTGTATAAACCAGCTCTCTCAGAACGCTCCGTTTTGGTGTGTGTGTCTCTTTAAATGCAATCTGTGTTGTAAGACTTATGCAGACCACAAACAAAGGACTGGATGGGTTTATTTCACATTTTGTGGGTCTGTAGACACTCAGGTTACCCAAGTATATGTTCAAACACACTGTCAAGGTTGTTTTCTTTTATAATATGTCCCCTTTAAAAAGTATTGGACAGGTCATTTGATTGGACCAGCGGTCTGCACTTCAACATGTACTTTCCATCTCTTCATGTAAAATACTTCTGGAAATAATGATTTCAGCGTCACAGTTTCTCCTGTAGATGAATTAATATGTAACATCTTGCATGACAACTGTATTAAAAATAAAAACATTCAATACAAGTTTTGTTTTGTTACAAACAGTTTATTGTCGTCTCATTCAATAGGCAAACATTACATCTAAAAAAAAAGAAAAAGAAAATCACTGCAGTTTTGGCACTACACTATACATAAGTGAGGTAACTAAATGTTTCAACGCTTGGACTGATTTCAAGTCATCAGGGGAAAACGTATGCAACCAATAATTTCATCTCATCTCACTGGGTTTTTAGAAAAAGACCAATGTAACCAAGGATAAAAGGGGGAGAGGTCACGGTATTTATGGACAGGCGATGAGGTTATTTGCTTGCACCGGGACACATGACACGGCAATCAAACTGTGCTCAGGTCCTCACGGCAAACGCTTCACACACACCACAGCAGCGGGGAGCTTGTCCTCTCCCTTTCTTTCTTTGCCAGAGACACCACTGCTAAAAAATCTCAGTCCTCTACTTGATCTCAGAACTACTTTCTATGAAAAAACTAAAAACTTAGCACTTCAAAAATGTCAAATAAATAAATAAATATGTTTGTGCATATTTGCTATACGATGACATACACATACATGATGCATATAATCACAGATAGAACAAACAGCCACACAAACATTGTGTGTCGCATGTGTACGTCTAACCTAAAGCGGTCGATTCTCTGTGGCTTTTGAACAAATACTCCACTATCGGACTATGGAGTAAGTCCTACACTACAAAAACGTGTTGGCTCAGAGATGATACTTGGGGAAAGAATCCTGAGAAATGTGCGGGACACCGGCAGATGTCTTCAAGCATCCCAGAAACACACATACACACGCGCGCACACACACACACACGCACAAACCCGTGCACATGCACACAAACAAACAAACCGAAAAGCAGAAGAAAAAAAAAAACTGTACAGTAATGTTACAGACTGCAGGTCATCCATCCCTGCTATGATTGATCCTTAAATATTAAGTATAGTAGAAATGTAAATGAGCTAAGTACATAAATACACAACTTTTCAGTTCTCCTCAGGTGCCGCAGCTCAGTTGCTGTTTTGTGACACTTTTCTTCAAGGGTGTCTTTCATCGGTCAGGACCTGGAAACTGCTCCACAATGCAGGCTGGTATCTGTTGTTTAGGGTTGTCCCAAACTGAGGAACAAACACAAAGGTTACAAAAAAAGGGAAGGGGTCAAGGACATTTCTCTGACTGAAAATAATTTAACTAATCTCTCGCAGTTTTCTAATGACAGTATTCAGTGAGGGCCTTTGTCCACATTGCTTTTTTTTTTTGAGTGCCAGCTTCATTTTTCACTTGTTCCCATTGAGAAGTGATCGTTCACAGCAGCAGGCAGCCGCTTGGATAAAAGACTCTGGATGCTGAGCTTTTTTTCCCCAAAGTCTCCACTTATTTTTGTGCGGCTGCTCTGAGCGTATCAACTTTAAAGCGTTCATTAACTTTTCACAAGGACGCTGTTGATGTCTCTGGCCCTCTTTTCAAAATATACGATAATCCCCGTTTTTTTTGTCTCTTGTGTATTGTGGTCGTGTACCCACATCGTCCTTACTCCACGTCAAATCGGAGCTGTGATGGCAGAGCTGTCATTGTCCAGATAAAGTATAGAGAGGCCGCATCCTCCGTTTGATGCTCATGGTTAAAGTAATAAAGTAAGGGGAAAAAAAAACACGATTTCAATTTAAAACAAACAGCAAAAAGTATCAGAGCAGTGTCGGTTATACAGCAGCTGTTGTCATGGAGACAAGATTAACGTGCAGCACTTTTAATTTTCAGTGCACAGGTGCTTCATCTAAGCCCCTAAATGTTGTTTGAGTTTGCTAGTGAACACATTCGGTCACATTTAGACCCAAAAACCATGTGAAGTTTACACACTTTACTATTTTTCTTTAAGGCAAAGTAACATGGGGAGACTAAAGTCATGCAAGAGAAACACACAAAATCTTTCTACACAGGCGTGGAGGAGTTTACCCTCCAGATCGATTGCATACAAAACGGCGTCCAAGACAGCCTCATACTGGTGTCTGTCCCAGAGTGTGATTTTATATTGAACTCTGGTGTCAGAGAAGAACGGGAGGCACAACATGTACACAAACAGCGGGGAGCTTAGCATTCACTCACACACTGAAATGCGTGATCACACACACACACAGCGCCGATCCCCCCCCCGCTGGCTCCAACATCTTACATTGCAATCGCCTCGCTGTGTTTAGTAAATATCCTTTAACTGGAAATGTTTGAAGGGCTAATGGACGTCTTTCTAACCCTGTGAAATGATTCCTTTTACAGCTTTTATTTGATATTGTTCAGTAATGATCAAATGTGTCTGGAGAACATTCAGTGAAATGTAGGATTAAGGAACAGTGTGAGGTCAAACTGCATTACCAGGTTTTAGGCATAGTAGCAGGGGGAGACCAGCAGGTCAGTCAGAACCAGCAGCTGGTCATCAGTGAACTGCTGCTTGTGTTGCTGCCAGTTGTCATGGTGAGTCCGTCGGAAGTTGGACAGAGTTTTCTTCACAGTCATCTGGAAAGTCGCAAACAAATTACGGAAATCTTACTCGTATATAATATATAAAAGATATCAACACTGCAGATTTTTTTATATAACAAGAGTCTGAGGTTGAAATAAAATCCCACTGCGATGATAAAAGGCGATTAATGTGTGGTCACATACTTCAATCGGTTGTGTGTCATTGAGGTGAGCACTCAGGTCCATGAGCAGCTGTGGCATCCAGGTGGGCACATCGTACGGGCTGGAGAGAATGCAAGCACTCAACCCGAGAACACCAGCATGGCGCCGCACAAGGTCTACGGAAAAACAGCACAAGGGGTTCCATAGAAGAAGATAAAGAGAACGGTGTATAAAAGGGTTTCATTGCAAATTGTCAATCTGTATAATCCTTACCAGCAGAGGGGATAGTGTCCACTATGGAGCCGAGCTCCCTCTTCCTCTTCTTAGGCAAGCAGGTCTTGCAGAGAGCCTCGAAATGTGCCTGCATGGGGGAGTCCATGGACAGGAAATTGCACTGAAGGAAGCCACTGAGTGTAGTGGCCGCCATTTCTCTCACCTGGTGAAACAAAGGCAGAAAGGGAGGATGGGAAATTTAAGTTAAATGTTTACTTTAGCACATCACAGTGACAAGCTGATTATTTGACTTGCAAGAAATTTAAATAATGTCCTGTAAGAAAAGCAGCAGCAATTGAAACACTTAGACATCACTACCAATTTATTTAAATGTGGCTTCAGAGTTGTGTATGCTTACTAAGTACTTTAGTGTTTTTAAGATAATTTAAAGATCACATTTTATGCAAAATACACTTTACCACACTAATATCTGTCCCTAGTCTGTCTACAACCCCCACTATCATGACAAAAGTCCATCCTCTCCATCTTTTACCTGCTCCACTTTTCAGAAAATGTGTGCTCAAACAGGCCGTTTTGGGGCAGAAACCCCTCCCCCATATAGGTGACACCCTACAGCTAGGTGTTTCCCCAAACATGTTGTTGAGCATCTTTCTTTAATCAGTTATAATTTAACTTGTGCATCACGTCTACCTGGTCTTTTTACTTCCCGTCCTAACACACAATCTTCAGCTCCTTACAGACAGCGTCTCGCTGCACTATACGAGACAAACCCAAAGCTACAATATCATTACACATTGTGTTTTGACTGGTGTGTGCACTGGTCAGCCGGGAGGAGAAAAGCAGCCAGTCGAGGACCAGAGGGATGGATGTGTGTATGCGTGAAGGGGTGCTCTTTATATGCCAGCTAAAATGCTTTGTTGAACATTTTATATTTCTATTCCTAGCAAATAGGGGAAATTCTAAAAATGGTTTAATGCAGGTCTTTGAGCTGAAATGGGTTCTTAGATTATATAGATCCATTAGGGCACATGGTTATATTGTATATGTGTCTTGGCAGCAAGGTCGGCTAGTTAACATCACTTGGACTCGTGTATTTGTTGAATAAAGATCATTGAAAAGAATAGAGGGTGATCAAACTGTCATACATTTAGGGCCTTATAAATTAGGCTTAGGTGAGTTTAAAAGGCCATATATAAAAAAAAAAATGGCCACTTCCATCCATCCCCCACTTCTCCTTTGTCTCAACTCCATTCCTCTCCCTCTCATCCTCCTTCAATC